ATGTGTGTATATATAGATATATAGATATGAATGTGTGTATATATATAGATATATACATATGTATATATATATATATATATATATATATGGAGGTGCAGGAAGAAGCTGCCTTGTTCTCCATCTGTCTTAATTCTCCTAGCAGCTTCAAATGCAATTTATAGCTTCAATATTTAAAGATTCATTCCCTATTTTTTTATTTCGATAAGTTTACTTACAAGTTTATTTTGTAATAATTTTGGTTCGTATTAGTTAATCCCTATAACATATAAAACATTGTTCCAAATGGTTGTAACCTCTGCAGGACACAACACTTTGGGGAGGAATACTTATGGAAGCCAACTCAACAATATAAGAGATGTTTTGATTGGTTTTGAATACAAATAAATGGGGATAACTTTTTATATAAAGATTATCAGCCACTAATGTTTACAACAATACGCCTAAAACCTTAATTTTTCATAATATACAAGTAAACTGTAGAATATATTACCAAAGTTCACAGGCCACCACTCCCATCTACTTTTCTGAGTCTTTCGAGCAAAGACAACCAACCTTGAAAGCAACTTTAACACGAATGTTGGGAATATTCTGCAACAATTATAGTTTGCCTAATGACTTCTTATTATCCTGAACAGTTTCCGATGAAACAAATACAGTAAATGTTTGAGATTTGTTAAGCATTCAGTGTATAAGAAACAATAAGAAAATGCTTTATGTAAGTAATTACCTTCCCAATTGAGACAGCTCAGGTTCTGCCAATAGCATATCTTGAAGCGGTTTCATGTCAACTCTTCTATCGCCAGTGCTATAAGAACTACAAGAAATGTGATTGATGTTTTAGTTAAAGGATAGCATTTATGATAAGTGTTAAGTGTCTGTACTCGTGAATATATACATAGGCTGTTATGAAAGCTATCACATTTGATCATTAAATAAAGAACAGCAATCTCTTCTATGAAGAAGAAATAAATTAAACTTACCCATAAACCTGGTGCAGAGAAAGTAGCCTGTGGTGCAGTTTGTAGTCATTGCCAACATAGGTTACAACTAAGCTACCAGCATCTGGATGTGGCCAGCTTCGTGAGGTAGGAAATCGGAGTACAAAGGTACCAGGTTCTTGAAATCCTGTGGGACCTTGTAGTGAAGCTTCAGCTTCTTCCTTGGTTATAAACCCTTCTATCCACTTAGGTGATGTGGATTTCCAGATAGGATTTACCCAGTCCCTTGATATTGTAATTGCCACAGGGTACAACCAACACCACAACTTCTCGAAGTTCTCTTGTGTTAGGTACTCTTGACATCCAGCGATCCTTCTCAGAAGATTTAGGTCCTACAGTAAATGCAAAATTTATCATATTTCGCATGCAATTTTTCTATGGTTTTGGTACTTTCAAAAACTCAGACCGCTAATAATAGTATTTTTTTTCCTTTTATTTACTATTATTTGCTTATATTTCTAATAATGGTAAGAATAATAGGCTTCAATGGGGATACTTAGCCCTGAAAAGAAAAGCCATGCTTTACCACATGAAATTAAGTTCATCAAGGCAATATTATGACAATAAATCATAATGCCTGAATGCGTAAGACTCGCATTTTACTATTGGTAATCAGAAAACGATGTATATTCATTTGTAATGTAATGGTAATTACAAAACCCTCCAGATGTCCAAACCATTTAGGAACAAAGTATTTCACATGAAACCAATTAATAAATATTTAGACATTTAGTAGCTTTTATAAAACATAACAGTAACTTTCCTTCAAGAAGTAAAAGATATAAACCTGAGGTGAGAGAGACCTTGAACTGCAACAAGCAATATTCACGAAATGCTCTTGAATCTCATACACAGCATTCTCCCAAAGAATGTGGTGATTGTTTAGAGGCATCACCTTCCAGAGATTTCTTCCATGGTTTATTAATCTCTTGGCAATTAATATTTGGTTTCTGATATCGAAACAGAGCCAGTAGTTAAAAAGGAGAAAACGACCTAGGAGAAAACGTTCTGATATAGCAATAAATTATACTTTAGAAAACTTTTAAGAAAGTAAACACATTTGAGAATCGAATAATTAGGATACAATCTGGGCACAAGAATAAAATGTATTTGCCAGAACATTGAACTTGCATTTAGATTTTATTGTGCCAAATCTTTTAATCAAATGAAAGCAAGCAATAGTTCCAGATGTCACGTTTCTATAGATGTTATAACTATTGTTTGAGAATGTAACAAAGCCATTCATGAGCCTTTGCTAGCCATTCATGAGCCTTTGCCTGGTTAAGCTCTTAGGATAGTTGATCAATGACATGGTGTATAACAGGCTCAAATTAACTGTCAAGAGGAGTTTGATCCTTGCTGTCTCTCTCCAACTCATACATACAGGAGTTATATTTAAGCACATGGCAAAAGTGGGTCTGCATTGTCTACACCTAAAGTCGAAAGGGCTTTTTCCAGGGGTTATATGGTAGGTTGTCTTGGATTGCTGGTTTAAGCCTAACTTAATCCCAAAATTTAACTCATACATAGAGTTACCTCCACTCATAATAAAGTCATTCATGAACCTTCAGCTAACAGCTTAAGCATTAAAATAGTTGCTTGTTGACATCATATGCAGTACCAGTAGTAAATATGAAAATATGAATACCACAAGCGAGTATTAACGTTTGAAACTGACAAGGACCAAACAGCTTAAGCTAAGAATTCATAAAGATATAAAATTTGAAAAATAATTATCCATAAATATTTTAGATTCTTGATCCATTTTTTCTATTTACATGCAATTACACCCATTCACCATCCTTAAGCAGTTACATAATTGCTTCTACCAAAATCACTCACCCATGATGCGAACATCCTGAATAGTGTGACACATGATTAGCGAATTCTAAAATTTCTTTGTCAGGAGCAGAGGTTGCAATTTCCTTGAGTATGAGAGATTTCTCAGCCAAGCTTGCAAGGCAGTATTTGAAAATGGTCATATCAGATATTGGATATCTTTTACTCGCAGTATTTAAAGGTGAATTTCCCTCCCCTATACTCTCTGAATCAGATGGAGAATCATATGCTTCATTGAAGTTTGCAGGCCTTCCATCGAAGCTTCTTGGAAATTCATTTTCAACCTAGTGACAATAAGTTTGCAGTGTCAGTTAATAGAAAATAAGAGCAAAGAGGACCTACTTAAGAATATCTAAGAAAATAATTTAACGAAGCATCTACAAGCAAAGGTTGACAAATTGGCCTTGTCTACACTTAAGTCTAGGTTAGACCAGTATAGTAAGAATCTGAAGTAGATTAGAACATCATATAGCTGACAATATCAGATTGGCCTTAGAGAGATCATATTCAATGTTTGATATAAATCAAAACCATTCCAAGGCCTTTTCCTTAACTTTTAAGCGTCAAAGATAGCCAACTACTTTATACAATAAAAGAATATTAGACCTATTGCTCAAGGATTCTCTTAATTAAATCTTAGAAGGTTTGAATTGGTCTGTGCTTTCAAATATTTTGGTATTTGCATGAGGTGGAATAATGGACAAAATTAAAAATAACGAATCTAAGAAGTCCAAACACGTACACTGAAACTAATTTTGTCAATGATGATCACATCAGCCTCTGCTGTCAGTAGTAAACCAACTAGGTAGAACATCTCCATGTATACAGAAAACAAGATTGAAAAATAAATCATGTAATCACCTGGTTAGCTGTCTGGACTTGAGAGTTACACTCTTCATCAGGTTGCTCTAAGGTGGGGTCAGTCTTCACTGATACAGATGTCTTGTCTTGACCAAGTCTAAACCGCTTCACTAGTGGATTGGCTTGTGCTTCATGACCTGAATGCTGAAGTTCGAAGGACCCATCATCCAAAGCTGAAGATTGAGATACACTAGAGCAATTAAGAGCAGTTGACTTTTTCCACACCAGAGTGGACAATCTTGTGTTACGGCTTCTGGAGATGCATCGAATTGGATGGGAGTATGTCTCAAGAAAAGGATAATTTCCTAATTTTGGAACACAAAATCTGATGACGAAGAACCTGTTATCACACTTGGATGAAAGCTGGCAGATGGGAGAATAGTTACTGGGAGCAGAGTTAATTCAAGCATAATGCACTATGAATTTGAAATGAAACATGCTTATATGCTATGATACTAAAATTGCTGATAAATACAACGACAACCCCATGTCAATAAAATTAACATATTATGGTCTTTGGTTCTAATTATAACACCATGTACAAATTCCAGAAAGACCAAAGACCAACAGCGATATGGATAATTATAATACTTTTATGTCATCATAGTATAACTACTTCAACGTCTAGCGTTTTTCTAAATTTTCAAGGAAAACAATATCACTAAAGAGAAAACCATAAATTATTGACAAAAAAATACCCAGGCAATATGTCTATTGAGAATTAGGAACAAAGGATATACAATTACTATATACTTATTTTGTTAGAGATTTCACATTGTCCTGAGATATGGTTATTATTGAATATAATGAAGAAGATTAGGAGAAATCTCCCTTATAAAAAGAAGATTCATCAAAAGTGACATCAGCAGAGATAAAATGATGATTGAGGGAAGGGGAAAAACACTTATAGCCCTTTTGTGACCGTGTAAATCCTAAGAAGACACATTTGTGAGACCTAGGAGATAACTTATCAAGACCAGGACTAAAATCATGAACAAAACATGTAGACCCAAAAACTCTAAGAGGTAATAGATGTAGAGGGTCTTGAGGAAATAATATAGAATGAGGGATTTCGTTCGCTAGGACGGAAGATGACATGCGGTTGATAAGATAACATGTCGTGAGAACAGCATCACCCCAAAAACGTGAGGGTACTTGACCATGAATGAGAAGGGTACGAGTTGTTTCAATAA